ATTGGCATCTTTTTTGTCACTAAGGTCTATACACTTACAACCACCTGTTAAGGTAGTAACATTTCTATAAGGGAAGGTCCCCTTTTATCTTTTTCTTTTCATCTAAAACAGGTAAAACCTTGTTAGCCAAAGCAGTCGCAAACCAAACCTCAGCCACTTTCTTGAGAGTGGTTGGCTCTGAACTCATTCAGAAGTACCTGGGCGATGGGCCCAAACTTGTACGGGAATTATTTCGAGTTGCTGAAGAACATGCACCATCCATCGTGTTTATTGATGAAATTGATGCCATTGGGACCAAAAGGTAGAGCTTCTTTTACATGATTCTGAGGCCAGCTCTTCTCTGAGAATGAACAGTGTTGGGCCCTGCTTTCTCAGGGGCCAGGTAACAACTACCCTGAACTGAGAATGTGTGGAAGTTGGGCAGTCATGAAAATCACATCTTGAGCATACCTGAGCCAGGACCATCCAGATTGGGGACACAGCCAGGACCATGGGAGGTTCTGCTCTAGGAATTTAGTCGGGGTGGAGGATCAGACACCATAGAGTCAGAATTAATTATACAGTGTCAACCCCAGAAACTGCGGCCAAGAATTGTGATATGTAGCTTGGCTGATGGGGGCATCTTAGTCCACTTGTACTACTCTTAAAATGCCACTGATGTCCTAATTTATAAAGATGGAAGTTTATTTCCTCACATTTCTGGAAGCTGAGAAAGAAATCCAGTATCAAGATGATGGTGTTGGTATCTGTGAGGCCATTCTGCTTCCAGGTTGTTACCTTGTTGCTTAGTTCTCCAGAAGGACAGAAGAGCAGAAAAAGGGCCTGTGCAAGTTCCCACCAACCCTTTTATAAGGCACGAATCATTTCCAGCAGGCACCACCTCTGTCACCACAGGGAGGATTGTTTCAACACAGTTGTTTTGGGGGACATATTCAGACCATATCAGAGTGTGCTGATTTTGTTGCTAGACTATGAGGCAGTAACACTCAGGTTGTGAAGGGAATGTTCTGTCACAGTGAGGTCTTTTGTGCTATTCCCCATTATCTGATCAGGTGGGTTTTCATGTCTTCTCTTCTTTTCCAAAGATATGATTCAAACTCTGGAGGTGAGAGAGAAATTCAGCGAACAATGTTGGAACTGTTGAACCAGTTGGATGGATTTGATTCACGTGGAGACGTGAAAGTTATCATGGCCACAAACCGAATAGAAACTTTGGATCCAGCGCTGATCAGACCAGGTTAAATTTGCTTTAGATTCAAATAGAGAATTAATATTCTTGTATGTTTGTATTTTAAGTCTGCTTTGGGTGTGATTATAAAATGATACATACATGGCTAACACTGTAGTGAAACTTGGAATTCTAATTTACCAAAAATATGCCCCCTTGAGATAATAGTCAAGTAAGAGTGTGCTGGAGCCTGTCCAGCCTGGCCCTTTAACTGCAGTTTTACACTTTGAATCTCCCCCACAAATAGTGCATTTCCTCCACTTAGCCTTAACGGTTTTTTTTGTTTTTGTTTTTTTGGTACCAGGGATCAAACTCAGGACCCTGTGTTTGCAAGGTTGCTTCTTTTTCTTGAAGAAATAATTCATATCATAGCTTGGATTTACTCTCTGCATTCAGGTAGCACTAGTAAAAGCAGTAACATTTGCTACCTTTTGTAATGTTTTGAACAAAATAGGTCTGTCCTTTGTCACTTAATGTGCCATCAAGAACTCCTTTCATTTATTTCTCATGGCGGAGATTTCTTTTAAATGGGGTGAACTCAAATGTAGAAATTTACTAAGTAGAGAAAGGATGCTCACTTTTAAAGAGCTGGATGTCATCATCACAGGATGCCACGTGATTGAAATTGCTCATGAGGCCTCGTTCTGAGGCAGGGCAGAGCCAGGGCCTGGAGCTGAATGGGATATGACGGAAAGCTTTGTACCTGCAGGGCGCATTGACAGGAAGATTGAGTTCCCCCTGCCTGATGAAAAGACTAAGAAGCGCATCTTTCAGATTCACACCAGCAGGATGACGCTGGCTGATGATGTGACCCTGGATGACCTGATCATGGCAAAGGATGATCTCTCTGGTGCTGACATCAAGGTGAGAATTTAGGCAGCTGGCATCTAGCTGGCATCCCTAGAAATGTGGCCATCACTCAGGAAAGGCTATGTGCCCCTATGGGGTTGGCCAGATATGTGGAGGTCTGGGGTTTAAAGTTGATTGTCATGTTGGCTTGCCATTGCACCTAGAGTAGATTCACTTTTTATGTAAAGCCATTTAATGCATTATTTTATGAAATAAATGACTCCAAAGCTCTATAAACACAAGGATGAGTCAGTCTTGCCAAGTTTACCAACTTCTCTGCATAGCCTTGCAGCCTTGCTCAGGAATGTGGGGCCATGAAGTCCCAGCAAGAGGAAGAGTCTTCTGGGAGAACTCATCTAGACCTGCAGAGGGGGCCTACCACCTAATGCATGCATGTTCCCACTTTGTGTTCTGACAGGTTATGCCCTTGGTTTAATCTCAAATGAACATGAGTTAGAATATTCGCTCTCAGCTGCCCAGCTGTACCAAGGCCTAGTGGCGGCATTGAATGTGGACACAAACTGCTTTCCTGGGTCTCCGTTGGCTGAAGTCCCTGGGTAGGAATGGCACATACAGTGCTTTTCTGGGCCAGCACCTGCACTGAGTCTCTGGATCACTAACATCAGTCCTAGAAACATAGCTTAGTTGATGAGTAAAATATATCTTTTTTTTTTTTAATTGAAATTATGTAATTGTACACCAGCTCTTTACATTTTTTTGAGACAGCATGTTGCTAAGTTGCCCAAGCTGAGCCCATAGTTGTGATCCTCTTGCCTTAAGCCTCCCCAAGTGCTGGGAGTGCTCCATCCACTACTCCTGGCTACTGTCTGAACCATTTGAAAATGAAAATCTGGTGGCCATAACCAAGTAGAAATTTTAGTGCTGTGATTTTATGTTGAAGGATTCTTGTTCTATTTTTCCAAGCACAGTTTACATTATCTAGGCAGAATAAACGTTTTAGTTGTAAGTAAATGAAATGGACACATACTCTCAATTAATTCTAAGTTTCAGGGCCTAATTCCCTGAACTGCCAAGCCACACAGCTTGCTGGAACTTGAGCCAAAACCTGGAGTCCACAGCCTTGACTCCTGGCCAGTCCCTTTTCTAAATTATCACTGTTTCCAGTTTAAGCCATCTCAGATTCTTGCAGAAAATAACAGGATACTTAAAACGTTTGAAAAATATTCTTTTCCCAAATGAGCAATTGTTTAGTCTGTCTTATACCTTATTTCAGAATAGCTCTCTCAATTGCTTAAGATAAAAATATTTCACTTTCTGAACATACTGTTTGTTCTTTCAGGCAATCTGTACAGAAGCTGGGCTGATGGCTTTGAGAGAACGCAGAATGAAAGTAACAAATGAAGATTTCAAGAAATCTAAAGAAAATGTTCTTTATAAGAAACAGGAAGGTACCCCTGAGGGGCTGTATCTCTAGTGAACAACAGCTGCCTTCAGGCAAGTGGTTGGTACTTTTCTCAACCCCTGAGAAGGATGAGGTTTGGGGAGGTGCCTGTGGGAGACCATGTTCCAGTTTATTTTTATTAGCAAACTTGTCTTCTCCATTGGATGGCCTGTCTGTGGTCACTGTGCTGCTTGCTCTCTGCTCCCCAATAAAGTTGTGCTCGTTCACAAATAGGCACACCTGCCTCAGCAGCTATCACGAGGAGCCCCGTACTTCACTATCTTCATACTCCCACATAGCACTGTTTTCAAAGAGAAGGAAGGAAACAGCTTTCCTTTGTTGTTCATGCAGGTTCTTGGCTTTGTGGGGAATGTAAATACTGCCATTCTGAGAGACCAAGCAATGGCAAACCTTTTAGAGATCCCAGTGATAGCCCTCAGTGGCACCTATCCCATAGGTTCACCACCACTGGAGTAAAGGTTCCTAAAAGAAACCTCAGGGCTGAAGTACTTCATACCAGCCATGCCTTCCCTTCTTCTTGGGCTCATTCAGGCCCTTTTACATAAGGGACTTGAGCACCCTTAGAAAGAGATACCTGTACTTAAAAGTTTTCTATAAATTTCAGATTAAGAAACCCACAAAGCATACCCATTATTTCCTCTTCCTCCTCGGTGATCTCCAGGTCCTTTGCCCTATCCATAGGGAAAGTCTCCTTTGGGTGAACTGTACAAAAGCAGCCACAGCAAATGCCAGTGCTGAGGATGTCAGGATGGAGTTAGGTAGAGTTAGGGTCAAGCCTGAAATACACTCCTCCCACCATTCCGGCTGCTGCTGTACTTCATTGACTAAAATAATGCTGAGATTACCATTCCTACAGATGGTCACCAAGGCCCAGAGTGCCAGGCGTTGCGGACACAGGACTGAAGCGCCTGGGTAACAAGGATTCCCAGCGCAGTCTCTTCCCTCCTGCCTGTGGAAAAGCCAGTGGCTTTGAAGCCCTTCCTCCGTAGTACTCTTTTAGCAGAAACTCTAACACTCTTGTATCATTTGGCCTTTCCCAGAGACTACCATGTCATTTTTTAATGAAAAAGGAGGAGTGTGTATGTGTGATAAGCAGCAGGAAGAAGAGAGGCCTCCTCTTAGCTGGACAAAACAGAGTGCACCTTTACACAGCACCTTCCAGCTCCTCCTGCTTCCCAAGACCCAGTAACCCCCAGTGTTGGACCTGTTTTCCTCAAGAACATTGCCCCAGACCCCTAGGGCCTGGGTGACCCCTGGTGTCTGATGTGTTCAGCCATTCCCTCAGGAAACAGCTACCACTCCCGATAAATGCAACAGTCTGACTGACATGAATGAGCTCAAGCCCCTTCTCTGCTCACCAGGCTTACTGTCCAACAGGTTTTTTCTAAAAAATATTTTTTAAAGTACTGAGGACTGAACCCACAGCCTTCACACTGAGCCACACCCCCATACACGTAACTTTTTTGTTTACTTTGCGAGGCAGGGTCTTGCTAAGTCATTAAGTTGCCCAGGCTGAGCTCGACCTTGGCAGTCCTCCTGACTCAGCCTCCCAGAAAGCAGGCATGACGAGCATGTGCTACCCTGCCTGGCTCAAGTAGGCTTTTAAAAATCCTAACAATAAATACCTCACCATCTTTTTTCTGTAAAACATCTGATTTTTTTAAAACCTCCTCCCATGCAGCAAATATGAGTGGTCAGTCTGAGATGCTGCCTTATCAGGTCTCTGGGGTCTCCTACCCACATGTGTAGCCCACTCCAGGCTCCCAGAATTCAGATTCCCATCAGGGTTTGAGGGTACTGATTTGCCACAGGCGGCTCCCTGCTATCCAAATGAGCAGACACACAGAAGCAGCGAGGGATCGGGGTATTAGTTATGGAGAATGTGGCTTAGTCCTGGGCTTCTGGCTCTATTCCCTCAGATAGATCTGCAAGGTGTCTGGCTTGATGCCCACCCACACAGAAGGTGAGGGTGACGGTGGCAAATGTCCTCCAGGGAGCAGCCCAGAGGCCTTACCGCCCGAATCCCAGCCGTCCGGCCCATCTCAGGGTCCAGCTCTCAGCTCCCAGTTCTCACTCCATGAGAGGCGACAGAGGACAGAGGAGCAGCCTGCAGTGTGGGGAGAGACAGGGCAGGCTGGCCAGCGTCCTTTGTGTCTTGAGGCACTGCCCTAGAGAGCACTATGGCTCTATTGTTTCCCCTTCTTTTTCTCAACTATGGCCATCTGTTTCTTTCCAAAATTACTTTCCATGGCGTTGGCTTTCTGGATGAGGTGGCAAAGGAATCCAAGGCTTTGGTGGTTCTGGAGAAAGGTATTTAAAAAAAAAAAAAAAAGCCAGCATGCAGCTACCCACTTGGCAGCAGTGCTCAGGGAATACAGGCAAGCCGTTCTTCCCACCCTGCTTTGCTGACTGGAAACAACTGTGCTATGGATCTCTTCAGTAGCAGAGAGGAGTCTTCTCTATCCACAGCCTCAGACACAGGACACAGCGCCTTCTCGCCTTCAGCAGAAGAGATGAAGCACCTGGGCACAATGCAGGCAGGTTGGCTTGGCTGAAGCGAGGTGGTGGCTATGGATGTGACACTCTGGGCTGGGGTCACCAGCAGGCAGGAGCTCACACCCTGGGTGGCACTTCCCACGCTCTGCTGACCCATAAGCACCTGGGCTCAGGAGAGGGCAGATTCTGACCCAGCAGAGCAGGGCCCTGCCTAGGAGTCTGCAGTGCCCACCAGCTCCAGGGGATACTGCTGGCCTAGAGGCAGGTGTCTCCGAAACTCGCCGCACACTGACCCAAGGCAGAAAAGCAAGAACCCTCCCCTGTGTGGAGTGAAAAAGAGAGGAGATGGTAATCTTAAGTGGCCTGACCTTTAAGTCCATACATACCCAGAGGGGCTTACAGGACCCCACTGCCATCCCCAAGGATGCCCAAAGAGGCTATGTACACCAAGCCAGGGCCAAGACTGGCTGGGCAGAGGAACAGGAAGCTGCACACACCTCAATCATAAAAGATTTCATTATCATCAGGAGTGAGTTTTCATCTCGGTAGGCAGAGTCACATATATAATATGTAAAACAGCTTTTGTGTGGTGTACACACCCAAAACCTACGCAGGAGAAATGATCAGAAAGAGCACACACATCTGGTGCCCTAGTCCTCCAGTAGGAGCTCCAGCTCCTCCAGCGGCAGGCGCACACGGAGCTCCTTCTCCGTCATCAGATCCAGGATCTCCTGAAGCTCATTGGGAAAGTACTCCACAGCATCCAGGTACAACACCTAGCAGCACACAAAGAACACCCTCATGGTGAGTATGAGGAAATCTGAGAAAAAGGAGCAGGTCCCCAGTGAGGCTGCCCTCTGCTGCCCTCCATAGCTACGCGCAGCCCCTTTCCTCCAGACTCTCCTTGCTCAGGTGTATTCAGGAAGGAAGCCAGACTCACAAAACAAGAGGGAAAGCCAGTAAACACCAAGTGGCCCTTGTCTTTCCAGGGAGCCAAAAGTGTTGTCAGACACTGCAGCCACCACCAGTTTGACTTCTGAATGTCTCCTGGATCCCAATTCTTTCAGTGAATGAGCTTGCTTTGGCAAATGTTGGGAAACCAGGTACTCACCACCCACTCACATGAGCGCCAGCTCTAAGACAGAAAAGGGTCCACAGGTTCCAACTCCTTAGGAAAAGGCCCTGGCTGTGCCTTGGGACAGGTACTGCATCCCCAGAGCTGAGGTCCCCAGTGATACTGGCTGAGCTGAGGCCTGGTGGGAAGGTCCTTGGGAATCTGAAGATATCTGGGTCTTTAAAACTTACCTTTGCCCAAGGACAATTCTGAAGTGCTTTGTAGAACACACCTTTGCTTCTTTCTTTGTTTCCTAAGGAAACCTGAAGTAAAAGGGAAAAAGTACAAAAATAATCAATTGAAACAGGTGGACCAAAGCTGTAAAAACACCCTTCCTGGTCTGTACATGGCTTTCTGAGTCTTGAGCCAGACTACCCCATGGCCTGGCACCAGGGTATGTGATGGGAACAGTGCCTAGCTGAGAATGCTTATGGCCACCAAGATTCAGGGCATTTTCCTCTACAAATGGCCATAGGGTGTTGATGTTTTATCACTTCTGACTCTTGGAAGTCCTTCATCTTCTTTTGGAAGTCCCTTTATTGGGAGCCACCTTGGTGTCACCAACAGTGCCTAGAATGTGACTGTCAGTGACATGAAGCTGATGACCTTGTACAAAAGAGAAAGTTTTTGCTTTCATATTTGCCATCTGATGAAAACTATCTTCTAGAGGAAAGCAAGATCCTGGTTAGCTCATTTCTCTAAAATCTACCAGGTTTTATTGCATTAAAAGTAAGCTTTTCTGGAGCCTGGGATTTAGCTTCAGTGGTGCTCACACCTGCCTGGCAAGTTTCATCATCCCTGTACCCAAAAAGAAGTAAACTTTCCATCAGAAATGCAAGCCCAACAGTGTTCAATTTTCAGCAGGTTTTCTCCCTAGATCTGAAATCCTTAGTCTCAACTCAGCCTCACCTTTACTTTCCCAGCCCAGTGTGAAAGGGGATATACACAGCCAGAGGCTGGTATAGACCAGGGGCCTCTCTCTCCAGCCTCTGCAGGGAGTCACAGTGCAAGTGGGCAGCTGCTCACTGGCTGGCACGTGCAACAAGAAGGCACAAGCAGAGCTTGTGGACTGCAGCCTGTCTGTGCTTCGCCACCCGCCCTCTGCCTTTAGCTTTCCCTTTCCTCAGGAGAGTGTACTTCCCAGCCAGGCAGCCGGACCAGAGACTCCAGTTTGCTGCTCAAGAACTCTGTCTCCCAAGAACAACCTCACTCCCTGTTCAATTTTGCAAGGTTCCATCCCAGTCACAGGGACCACAGCGGGGCTGTAAACAGGCTCCACGAGGATACTGCTGTGGGGCCCAGCTTCTCTCCCACCTGGCCCAGGTCACTGCTGTGCATCCTCCCAAGTATGTGCCTCCAATTCTGAGGCTGGGCCTCTGGAGTTTATAACCTTGTGCAGTGGGCTGGCCTCAAACAGCAGCTGTTCCCTGTGGCACTTCCTCATCAGTCAGCCACAAGAATACCTTCTGTGCTGGGGATGTGAGGGCACCGTCCAGAGGAGAGCTTGGTGGTGACTGTGTTTTTCCCATCCACAATCCCTATCCTAACACACCTTCACCTCTGACTACAGATAGCAGTGCTTCAAATAAGAAAAGTTTGTGGGTACCACCTGGCCCTCCCACCTGCCTTCATCACCTTCCAAGGTCTTCAACTTGACAACAAAGACTTCCTATCAAATTCCTGTAAGTGCAGGAACCTCCCTCCTTTCTGGAGTTTTCACTGCACTCCCGTCACCCCACAGAATTATGCTTAGGCAGAGCAGGAGCATCTCTGGGCACTAACTGGGAGAGAACAGAACCGAAGAGATCACAGCTAATGAAGGAGCAGAGCCATTAAACCAAGCCCTTGCTCAATGGCCACAACAATCTTCTTGCATTTACTAATTTACCAAATATTTACCTTCTGCAGCTTAGATGTATCTCTTCAGGACTAAGGGCCAATCTCAGGAATGTAACTATCAAAAGAATAAGACTTAGGGCTGGTGATTTATCTCAGTGGTCTCACCACCTGCGTTGCAAGCACAAGGGCCCCAGTTTGATCCCCGGTACCAAAACAAAAAATAAAACAAGACCTCTGTCTGCTAGACTCCATAGGACAGAATCCTGATTCACAGCCAAAAAACACAGCCAGCCTGGTCTGATGCACACTAAACAACCCTCTGTACTTTTACATGACCCTCAGCCCCCATGCTCTCCCTTACTAATTTGCTTCAATTGGCTTTAAAATAATTACTAATTCTGTGGGTCATGGAGCTGAGGAATACACTATTAATCCCCACTGGCCCTGCTGTAGATAACAAGCCTGACTCATGGGTTATGATCATAATGGATGTGTAGGTTATTTCTCGGGGACCTCAAACCACTGACTTATCTTGGGCCTGCACAGGTGTCTGATGAGTGACTTTTTGATGTCAGAGGGCTGGAAAGTCCACCCTCAAATCATGCTACACCACCTTTTCTGCACATGTGTCCCATGAAGAGCCAGGTAGTTTGATTACACATGCAGACCACTGATTACCTCCATCACTTCTCCACAGGCCTCAGACATCCTGCTTTTTCATCCCGTAAGTGTCCCTAACCCTGTCCTCAGGAAGGTGGAGTTGAGATGTGGGCTTCCCACTTCTACCCTTATTCTCTTGCAAAATGTGTTGTTCTGGTGTCTGAATACTGCATGGCAGGCAGAACGGCCTGGCTTGGTTACACTATTACTGCTTCCAAGTGAGCCTCTGATTCCGCCAGTGACCGTCTCCTGGAGGGGTAGGAAGGGAGGTCTCACACAGAGGTTTCCCTGCTGTTGCATGTAACCCAAGGACCCGAGACTCACATGTACCACGAGAGGCACAGGGCAAATGGCCGGTGCCAGGAGTCACACTAGGGCTGTGCTGGGCACTACCAAGTCTCCCCTCCATAGGCTGCACTGGTGGGGTGGCATGTCTGGGCCAATACACACGAATGCTCACATCCCCCACTTCAAGTTGCTTGCTGGTGCTTAGTAATCACTTGTTTTTGCATTTCTGTGCCTTCCTATCTGATGTGTGCCACCTCCAGATGAGGTAAGCAACATCTCTTAAGTAGAGAAGAAGCAGAAGTCTTCAGGCTTTTGCAAAATTTGATTCTCTTATTTCATTATAACCACATCTGAGCAACTGCTGGCTCGTGCAGTTTTTAAAAGCAATGAGACAAAACTGACATCCAGCCTCCTTAAATAAAGATACCTCTCTATAGTTCCTTTTCATCTTTCTAAGGGAAGACTGACAGTCATGAGAAGTTTCATTTTTTGTGGTACTGGGGACTGAACAAAGACTTTTGTACTGAGCTATATCCCTAGTGCCTTTTAGTTTTTATTCTGAGACAGGGTGTCACTAAGTTGCTCAGGTCAGAATTTGCAATCCCCCTTCCTCGGCCTCCCAGAGTATGGAGATTACAGGCATGTGCTCCCCTTTCACAAGTTCATTCACTCAGCCCAGGAAGGAAGCTGAAAATTCTCTTTCCTCCCCAGCAGCCCTTGTAGATGGTGGTAATCAGCATAGTAATTTCTGCCAGATGTCCACAGGATGGGACAAAAACTACACTGGAGGGTAAAAGAAAACCTGGTAATCAACAATACAAAATGCCACTGCTTCCTTTTTTATGTATTAAGAGTTCTGCCAGGGATTTATCTCAGTGGTGCCACTGCCTGCCTTGCAAGTGCAAGATCACAAGTTTGATCCCTGGTACAAAAAACAAAAAAACCAAGAATTCTTTCACCAGTCCCCAAAATCAACTAACTTATCTACTTAAATTTCACTCTTTCTTCTGTGGGTACACGACTCTTGAAAGCTAGTGCAACTTAGCCAAAACAACAATAAAAAAAAAGTCTACCTGAAAGCTGGGAAGCTAAACGCATGATTACAAGTTCAAGGCCAGCCTAGGCCACTTAACAAGACAGTATCTCAAAACAAAACAAAACAAATGAACAAAAAGAAAAACACAAAAAACCAAAATCTAAAAGTGTTAACACATGTATTGGAAGGCCTCACCTAAAAATCAAGGTTTCAATCTGCTAAATTCCAACTTTAGTGGAAAATTTTAATTGCTGTTTTCCCAATTCCTTCTTCTCCCTATATTTACCATAGCCAACAGTTTAAGTTTTAATTCCTTCAATTATTTCTGCAGAAACAAAAGCAAACACAAAAGCAAGCTTGCCTGAAAACATGTCTGTGTATCCGTCCCCAGGAGGCACAGGTGTACAGATGCAGAAGCAAAAAGGACTTTTCTCCACTGACAAGGCCCCCAGTGCCCTTTCCCTCTCCTAGTACTTGCTGCCTACATCTTACACTTGGACCCTAACCTGATCTTTTCTCTGTTTCATTAAAGTTCTGGGGGTCCACCAGACAGATACCTCAGGACCTGCTAGACAAGGTCAAGGTACTAATTAATCCTTATTTTTAACACCTTTCCAAAAAGTGAGAAAATCATTAAGGTCCAGATTTTTTTTCCCCCAAGTCAACAGCACTTTTTGTCTAGAAGTCAACCAAACTTGGCTATGGTATAGCCTTGGTGAAAATATTGTAAATCTGTATCTTGCTCCATGTCTCTACCTATCAAAAACTGAGGAAGTTAAACTGGTACATTTGCAAGATTTCCCTATTTAAATCTAAAGCCCTTTCATTTGTGTAGAAACACTGACAAGAGTACTAGTGCTGGAAAAATCAGAGAGGGGATGTGACTAAAGCCCAGTCCTCTGCTACACTGCACTGCCTTCTGTGATAGACAGGCAAGGAGCCCCACACCAGCACACAAGTCCCTACAGCACCCATTTCACACAAGAAGTCAACACATAAAACCTGAGATCTGGGTCTAAAAAATAAATGTGAAAGGAATGCACAGACTTTCATGGTAATTCACTCTTGATGCTAACTCTCTGCATGTGCTCGTTTTTCCTGGATGTGCCATGACATATGCTCTGGGATGTATCTTCTCAATCCCCTTCCAAGGCAAGGCACACATCCGGATGAATTCTGGAATCTAAGCTAGGAGTCAGAGAGGCCCAGCTCTCTCCTAATTTCATTTATTCTTTGTATCTCCTTACCTCAGCTTTATTATATGTCAAATACAAATGTTCAAAACCTATCATGGTTTAATAATTTACCTTATAGGAATAATTAGACACATACAGTAAGATTTACAAGAAAGGTGATGCCTGCCTGGCTTCTGCAAGAAACAGCATTCACTGGAGATCACATTGATATGACTAAATAGCCTTGAACTAAACCATGGTTTCCAAGAAAGCATACAAGTTGGAAATAGATATACAGTATTTCTGTATTATAGTAGTGCCATCCTTTCCACTGCCAGGCCTTTAAGCTAAGGCCAAGCCAATTCATAGCCCTGTGAAGTCAAGAAAACACATTTCAGTCTGTACACTTAACACTCAAAGAACTATACATGAGGCATCACCATACTCAAATCGCCATGGTGCTTTTCAATGAACATAAAGCTGCTTTGGAAATATCTACTTCAAAAACTATCCCATAGGATGAATCTTTTTTTTTTTTTTTTTAAATAACAAAACAGATTAGGAAATTCTTGTGAGTAAAATAGCAAAAAACTTAGGCTTCAATCCAATGAAAGCTCTTAGACCATCTTCCAAGTTGTTGATTTGATTAAAACTCAACAAAGAGAAACCAACGTTAAGTTCTACTGCACCAAACAGTCTTATGATTACACTTCAGTTTCATTCTACTGAATATCTTGAGTAAATCGACAACACACAACCCCTTCCCAAACCCTGAAATATCTGATATGATGCCATTAGGGTTCCTGTAAGGACTACCCACTGCCAAGAGTGTGTGAGAGCAGCAGCTAATGGACATCTACCTGCACTTTCTCACTTAAGCAGGAAGAAACAGTTCTGTCAAAATGAAAAAAGGTCAAGTATTTTTTACCAGAAAATTCAAATACATCCTCCACAGTAAAGGGCACTGGCTGCCATTGTCACTCCGCATCGCATTTTCAAAGAGGGCTCTGATCCGATGTGTTAAGCCAGTCTCGGGGATGGTGGCATGGATCTCTCTGCCATCTACCCTGCAAGGCAAGGAATCATGTCACTGTCAAGATCTCTCTCTTGTATCACAGCAGGAAAGAATGCTTTCATGCCCACAAAGGTTAGTAATAGCTGGATCAGAGTGTGTCAGGGGAATGTCGTCCTCCAGGTGTGATCATGGTGGCAGCAAGTGCATGTGTAATGTGGCTTCTCCAATTCAGAAGGCAGCAGTGGCTCGGATTCTATTTCTACACCACACTGAGTCTGCCTAGAAGCCACACAAACTCTGTGCTTCTCTGTTTTCTATAGAAACCTACCCTAAAATCAGAATGCAAACTCTAGTCTCTGGGAAGGAAAGACTTCAATTTAAAGTAGACGAAAGAAGACTCACATGGAATATATAAAACCCCAGTAGAAGAAATAAAACACAAACAAAACAAAATGCTATTCAAAGGCAATTTTGCCTAATATATAAGGACAAGTGAAGTAATAGTAAAAACTCCAGGAGGAACAATGATGCCGAAGCTACTGTGTTCAGACATAATACACTATGTTAAAAGGTGGCATCTGAAACAGACACTGTTCTCAGTAGCAATATTGACAGAAGGTGGCGATTACCATGCATGGTTTTTGTGCAAAGCACTTATCCTACTGATCCCTCAGAGCAACCTTATGAGAAAGGTTAATTATTCCCATTTAACAGAAGTGAAAACTGTTCAGAGGAGTGATCTGCCTGAGGAATCAGAGAAGCCAACTCCAGGGTCCATGTCCTCAACCATTATGTTCCCACTACAGCTTCTCAGATGCTGCCAGCCAGCCAGGCACAAACCAGCGCAGCATTCAGGCTCCCTAAAGGCTGGGCCCACAAGAGAGGAACACAGCCTCTAATGAAAGATGCCACTCGTTTCTAAGCATCTTGCTCTCTTCCAACACTTTACTCTGCCACACTGGGAGTACCACAGCAGGTGTTCTGGGCCCATGCCACACCCACTTCTGTATCCCTGAAACCTAGCAAAGGGGGTGGGAACACACCAAGCATCCCATAAAGCTTCATGAAACACATGAAGGAGATGCCTCGTCCTTACCTCTGAACAGTTTCCACCAGTCTTTTCCTCATTTTCTCAGCTTCAATTGCAAACAACCAAGGCTCCAAGGGTTTGGCAGACCTAGTGATTGCATCGAAGAACCTTCTGGTCTTGCTAGCACTGTGGGACTTATTTTGAATCTGTACATATGACCACCAAAGAAGCTGGTTGCCTGGATACAATTTTAAAGCCTCTGAGAGTGCTTCCCGCAGTGGAGTCAGAGGATAAACACTAACTTTCATGTGGAATCTCAGCAGACTTGTGTGCATCAGGGTGATGGCTTCAAGAACGCTGGGCAAACTCTGGGAGCTGGCACTGTGCTCTAAGCCAGGGTCCCCTGGGACAAAGGAGACCTTTAGTTTGGCAAAAAGCTGCTCATATGTCCGTGCAGCAGCATCAATCCCTACTGTCAAATACTGGAAGAGCATAAAGCACTTAACCAAGCTACTCAGGCAGTCCAAGGAATTGGCAGCAGCTGGACCAGAGGCACAGTTTTCACCCAGACAGTCCTGCAGTGCGTGCTCATAAGCCTTTCGAGCTTTCAAAACCTGAGTGGCCAAGACCTGCCCAGTGTAGGGCCCGTAGAGACTGCTCTCCGTCAGCCTGGTCAGTATGTGAACAGCTCGGCCTGTGGCGGCCCCTCTCAAGTCCTGCAACAACTCCACCTCCAGCTCAGCATAGAGCAGGCTGAGCTCACAGAGCTCACGGTCCTTCAGCTCACTGCTGCCTGCCATGCTGACTGCTGTATCGAAAACTTTTCTGGCATCCTCTATGTTGCCAAGCAACCACTCCAGATGTGCATACTGCTTCCAGAGGCAAAAATTGTTGCGGTTTTCTGGCTCCTTAAGGAGATTCTTGGCTAGTTTTTTGCAGTTCTTCCCCTGTGACTTTAATCTCTTCTTGTTTTTAGTTTGTACACACCAAATTACCTACAGACAAAAGAAAAAGAATGACTCCAGGTGCTCTATAACCTTTAAGCAATCCCTTTGCACCTTTGCTTGAGAAAGCACTGATGTCATCTACACTTTTACTGATTGTGTATTTGGTAAACATCAATGCTCTCTGAGATAGGAAAGAAATCAGGATTTGACCTTGGATAAAAGTGGCCCAACATTAACACATCTATAATCAAGGCCGAATCATTTCCAATGTTCTTCTCCAAAGAATACGGCTACCACATTTTATCAAAAACACTATTTTTATACAACCTGGGGCATGAAGCCATAGTTAGCTTTAGAACTTTGAGTATTTAGAGTCAGTACTAAATGTAGCCATCAGAGGGCAGAACAATGGATCCAAACTTTTTTTTTTTTTTTTTTTTTTTTTTTTTTGTACCAGGGATCAAACTCGGGATCTTGTTGTGCTTGTGAGGGAGGTGGCAGAATGACTGAGCTAAATCCCCGGCCCTCAAGACTAATTTTTGAGCTAATGGCTATAAAGCACAGGATAAGTAAGTAGCTTATTTAATCTATTCTAATAAGCCTCTAAATCTTCTAACCCTGCTTAAGCTTATGCCAGCTCTTAACACCAGCTACCCACATCATCACAGGCATCTGCTAAGACAAGACCACACAATAGGCAGCTCTGGTTGCTGAGCTTGGCCGGATGGGCTCCTGCTTTTCTTCTCTTCCCTGCAATCCTTCCAAGGGGCAGCTACAGAGAGCTGTCCTCAGGAGTTACTAGAGGGGTAGGTGCTATGGCAGAGCCCAGAGAAGCATTTGGGGCCCTGCAATCCCACTGGTAATACTGATGTGAAACTAAAAGGCCCCAAACACACAGAGGGGGAGGAGACAGCTGGAGTTACCTTTGCAATCTCATACCGTAACCAGGAGAAGCAGAGCTGAGACTTTTGCTTGCCTGAAAATAAAGGCAACACAAGGTGGAAGGTGTTGCGGATGAACTCCTCGCCCTCTCGATTGTGACTCCTGACCCAGCGAGGACAGCCCAACTGCTCCATGTGGCCGACACAGCTAACGCCAGAAAATGAAGGGTTCAAAAAAGTCAGGGGCTTCTCCTCATAAAGTCCGTTGTGAAAGACGCTGTTCTCATCCATGGCCAGGTAAAGGCAGGAGGCTGGAGGGGTGAAGCCAGAAGGCACACCCAAAAACTGCAGAAAGGCCTGTATCAGCTGGAACTGGAGGTCTGGGCTGCTAAGTCTGATCAGCGATTGTCCAATGTCATCAAACAACACCTGCAATGAAGGCAAAGTGTAGTGACCTATTTAAGAAACCAACAAAGCCTTCACAATCTTTCATAATTCTTTTTAAATGGATGTACGGTGATAATTCGGTCCACAAACTTGACTCTTTCCATGATTCTGGTCACAACTGAGTTGGTCAAGAACCAAATCAAATTCAGTGGTTAGGTTCAATGTTGACCTTACGGGGAAATTTGATTCAGTTCTTGTCCAATGTAGTTTGCAACCAGAATTATGGAGAGAACTAAGTTCATGAACTGATGTACCACTGTACGAATGCTTCGATGTTATTCAAACTCATTTTAAGTAGATAAAGATAAGTTTTCTGCAAAATAAGGCCTCCCAAGCAGCCCAGCCAGGGAAGAACTCCCACTAGCCCCTGGATGCCAGCAGCACTTTCACATACCAAGAAGAACTGGAAAGGAGGGAAGGTATCGACAGACTGAAGCCAACAGCTTTCAAGCCACCCTGCTGATCTGCAAAAAACCTAGAACTGTGTTCACTTCGGCAAGCACACATGACTGCTTTTATAGTTACTTTGACAAATTAAAACTGTGAATTTTTTTAAAATCTTAGGATAGAAAATTAACTTTGTAATTTCTTTATATAATTTATTTCAGGAAATGAAAACTGCTCTAAGAAATATACAGGAAAAGATAAGACGGAAACAATAGGAGCAACAGACCTTGTTAAAAGCAATTTTGAAAAGCCTAGCTAACACTAACTACATGTTCATCATGGCTAATGTCGTGTAACTGTTTTAAAACCTAAGACGAAGGATATTACCTTTGTTTCAAGGTGCTATTTGCCTGATCAACCTCTATAGCTCTTGGTATGAGGAAATCAAAATGCAATAAGCACAGTAAAACTGGACCACCTGGAATAAGACACATCAAATCATCAATTAATCAGAAAGCTTTTCACCTTTGGGCTTGGATTAGAGAAAAATCTAAACAATAAGAAATTGCTCACAGCAGCAGCTGGCTCCACAAATCAGCTTTCACAAGACAGGCAAAATTCTGAGCCTGAAAACCAACATTCTAAAAGTTCACTTAAATGCTATAAAAGAAAAAAGAAAAAAAAGAGAGACAAGACAAAGATCCTGTTCTCTTCTATATATTCAGCTATGGTCAGGAAAGGGGCCTCTGAGCAGACCCACCTCCCACAGCAGACCAGTGGGTAGAAGCCTCCCAGGAAGCAGGCCATCCTTCCTGCCCAGAGGTCACCTCTGTCCCCTTTTCTGTGTGTCCGATCCAGTCTGGCCACCCCATTCATCATCCCATCAAATGCTGCACTGAGGCTTCACTTTTCAGCATCAAATATCCCTTCAACACCCAAGACCATTATCTGAGCACTGAGCATGGGAGAAACTGTTCTAGGTAGTGGGACAAGCAGTGAACAAGAGAAGCAAAATCCCTGCCAAGGCACCTCACATGCAGGGAAGGTCACAGAGCCTCATGACTGAGAGAACCTAAGCAATAAAGTTTGCATCTTGTGAAAGTGGATCACTTCCAGATATCAAAATAACATGTCTCCCTTAATTTTAAAACCTCCAGAGCTGCTGGCCACTAAACAGAGCATCATGTACAAAATCATGTATCAACACTGAACCAAACAACCTAACAGAAATGCCTGGCACCTGGCAGGTACCCATCAACACTAGTTCCTTCTTCAACAAGACAAACTAAACTGCAGATGTCCCCACGGAGTCTGATTCTCTTGTCTTCCAGAATCAAATCTGGCTGCTACATTTCCATGCATCCAACAGCAGGGAAAGAACACAATTAAGGAATCCAGAAGATGAGACCACAGGGTTCCATGTGAAAAATTAGCTAGATGACCAAGAAGGCAATCTCCAGCGGGTAACCGTGGAAGCCTAGCTCCTTATGAGGGCCAAGAACTACCTGGTCACGTGCCTATATGCTCCCCATCAAGGGAACAATGAAATTCTGTCCTGATGTTAGTCAGAAGTTTCCTGAGAACTGAACAGGAACAGGTTAGCATCGCCTAAACCAGCCAAGTGCTTGGAGAGCCCAGCAACTTTCTTCCAGATAGACAACAGAAGTGAGAGGGATGCAAAGACCCTGTGGCCAGTTTCCTTCCAGTGGCGGAGGATACACATGCCTGTCTCTCAGGATCCTCACAGTCTTCTTCAGTTTGTTTCTTTGTTTTATCAGGGCGCCAGGGCTGCCAGTGTCTTTCGTCTCGTGAACGCTCAGCACCAAGCCAGATCTGCCACCTGGGCAGAGTCTTGTCTCTTATCTCCTCTTCTTCCTCTTCTGGTTCATCATCATCCTCATCTGCACAGGAATGAAATTTCCAGTTCACCTAAGCCGTACATAAATCCATCATCACTACTCCAACAACCCACTATGCCCGGCACCATATGGGCACCCGGCCTGCCGAGATGGACTGGGTATGGGCAGCCTGTCAGGCACTTAATGGCACTGAGGGATTTTCCTGTAAGCAGGTAAGGCACAGGGAAAACAGGCAGATAAGAGCATGGAACCAGATAATTTTTAATGCTGTCACAGCAAAAATGAGAATGACATATACTCTAGAAAACCACTGCTCCAGAGCACTTTCTGGAATTATAAACATGTTATTTTTCTGCATTACTATGGAAGTCACCAGCTACAAGTGGCATACTTGTAGCCAATAAAATGTAACCAATAAAAGAAGTGAATTCTTCATTTCACTTAACTATAAAGAGCCACATGTAGGGCCAGGGATTTAGCTCAGTGGTATTGCTGCCTGCCTTGCAAACACAAGGACACAAGTTTGATCCCCAGTAACAAACAAACAAAAGGGCCATATGTAACTAAACATTACTGTTTTGGGCCACAGTTTTAGAATGTTAAGTGGCACTTAATAACTACATTAATTTAGATTTCCTTAAGCCATCAGAATTTTTAGCCATTAAAAAAATTTATAATTAGTTATGACTTGTTGCTGTAACTTGACAAAAACATCAACTCAGGATATCCAATAATTTATTTCACTTTGTTTCCCAACTTTGGGCATGCAGAATGGAAGAGCAAAACAGTCTCAGTTGCCTGTAAAGTTCAATATTTAAACAAAAACCAAAAAAAAAAAAAAAAAAAAAAGGGGGGGGGTATATGAAATGGTACAGACACATAGGAACAAATTTTACAGTTTCTCATAGAACTAAACATTCACTTAACCAGAATTGTACTTTGGGACACCGAGCCCAGAAAAATCAAACTTTGTATTTACTCAAATAAATAAACAAACAAATAAACAAATATATTAACGCTTATAACAACTTTATTCATACTACCCCAATGTCCTACAACAGATGATTAAAAAAACTGTGATACAGTTATATAATGGACTATTCAATGATAAAATGAACAAATTATTATTATGTTTCTCAAGAACCTTGTACTAAGTGAAGAAATGTCAATTTCAAGAAGGTCCAGAGGCTCTGAGTGTTGCTGTGGATTTGGAGGTGCTGCAAGCCCTCGCACTGCTGGCAGGAATGTAAACTAGTACAGCCTCTACAAAACACAGCAGGGCTGGTAAGAAAGTTAAACACAGAGTTACCGCATCAGCAGGCAGTTCCACTTCTGCATCTTGCCTCACCCCACAGAGTGCTGGGATTACTAGTGTGCCCCTACTATGCCTAGCTCCTTCTTACTTTTTTAATGTGGCTACAGGATTTGAAACCACACATGTAGCTTACACTATATTTTTAAGTGGATAGCTCTGTGTCAGAATGCAAATCTGCAAAGTACCTTGGGATGAAGTAGAATGGTAGTTATACAAATGCTAGTTAATAATTATTTTTGTAATATCCCTAAAAAAGCCAAAAGTATTTTTCAAAGGATCTGTTGGTCTGTGAAAAGAACAAAAGGACTGTCTTGAATGTGTAATAAAAAGAATGAGAGGTAGGGAGGCTGGCAATAAGCTTCCTTCTTCAGAAGCAGCTTACAGAAGAAATAAATTTCTTCCTCTGGAAACTCAAATCTCTAGAGCCCTATGTACTCAAGGAAGGGGATATTGAGTGCTTTAAAGTCTTTAAAGAAAAGAAACGCTCTATTGTCCCATGTAATCTACTTCGTTTTTTTAAAAAAACATTTTGATGTTTGTACAATGTTCTTGAGCTACTGACAGATAATCATGAAGATGTAAAAATAAATTCAAGGTGAGAAAGACAGACCCATTCTTGCTGGGAGGAGCCTACCTGGGCTGATGACCACCCAGCCACCCCGCTCCTGCTGGTGCATCCAGGCCCGCCAGCCTCGGGCGCCCTTCTCCCCAGGCCGGGGCTCTCCACTATCCCAGAAGGGCTCAAAGAATTCCACCTGTTCAGATTTGAAAAACAGAAGTTAAAGCTTTCCTGCAGAAGACTGCTGTGTCCCGGGGCAAAGCAAGTGCTGGTGGACACCTAAAATCATGTTTGCCCTCTGTGTTTAAAGTCAATTCATAATACAGACCCAAGTAAAAAAAAGCAGTATCTAGTCTGGTCGGCAGCCCCCAATGTTGGTCCCACTGCCCCTCTCCTGCCTTGGTATACACACTCTTCAGTGTGGGCTGGACCTAGTGACATCCAACAAACCAAAGATGGCAAAGTGACGGGTGCCACTTTCAACATTAGGTTACAGAAAGACTGGCCAAGGCTTGGTTCCTATTTCTGACCCTCCAGAGTACTTAACCAGGGATAGCAGCATTTGCCAGTTCCTCCAATGCCACTGGATTCCCTGACCAGTATCTGAAGTCATGGTGCTTTCAAAACCTTTTAAGGAAAATTCAAAATTTCAATGGAAAGACTGTGAGCTACAGAGGGGACAACCACGTATTATGTAACTGTTTATGCCTAACATCTGGTCACCTGGCAGTGTTCAATGCATAGTAGAGTCTCAATAAATGCTGGTTGGTACAGACGTGCAGGGGAGGCATGTGGAAAGTAAAATGGTCTGCATTTTAAAGCCCAGCCCTCTGAGCCGCTCCACCATCCATTCGGGCATTAAGTTTGCAGTATGTGGAAAGCAGCTCACCACGACAAACAACCCCCCACAGAATAGAGCATGAAAGCAGTGCTGAGCAGGAGGGTGATCCTATTATCAGCGGGCGGCAGGACTGTACAAATGAGCACAGTCAGAAAAGCTTTCGAAAGAAACCTTTCAAAGGGGACAGACAAGCAGGCTTCTGACAGGCAAACCACAGGCTAAGTCACAGGACTATGTAGCCTGAGCCTGGACAGTGCCCCCCCCCCGATGACGAAAGGGCTGCGTCACCAGGAGAGTCACCCCAGGGCCAGGCACCCATATGTGTTAATGTGGGCGTCCCGGTCACCCTTGGGAAGGTAAACTGTGCTCCCTCTTTACGGTTTGCTCTTTTAACAGGTGATGGAAGAAAATCCATCAAGAAAAAGGATTTTGTTTTGTTTTTTGGGTTTTTGAGACAGCATCTTGTTCTGTAGTTCAGGCTGGTCTTGAATTCACTATGTAGCCCAGGCTGGACTCAAACTCACAGCAATCCTCCTGCCTCAGCCTCCCATTGTTGGGATTACAGATGTGCACCACCATGCCCAACAAGGAGGAGGATTTTTTAAAAATAGTGTGACAAATGTTCATAACCAATTCATTTATTCCAAGAAACAGACCAGTGATCTCAGACTATGCCTGTTTCATGTTCTGTTACTGTGTTTATGGTAACAGTGTCACTTGGTAACTGAGGCAATATGTAGGAGCACTGTTAAGAAGAAGCATTACTCAAAGTCGCCACGTAAGTGCTCTGGAAACACACATGCTGTATTTAAAACCTCAAGACCTTGGATCAGGGTCTCTTGGACACTTCCGAGCAGTGGCTCTCAATGCACCATAGCTATGGGAGGTGCTCTCCTACCCCCCAGTGACCACACCTATCATGACTGTGAGTCTCAGCAGACAGAGAGCAAGAGGAGTCCAGATCCTGACTCTCAGCGTCCTCACAACCAGCTAAGAAATCACTTCTAGCTGCCCGCCTGTAATTCTATTACCTGGGAGGCTGGGGCAGGAGGATCACCATGAGTTCGAGACCAGCCTGGACAGATGTACTACATAGCGAGACCCTGTCTCAAAAAAGTCACTTCTAGGGCTGGGGATTTAGCTCAGTGGTTCTGCTGCCTGCCTCTCAAGTGCAAGAATTTGAGTTCAACCCCTGGTACCACCAAAACAAAAAAAAAAACACAACCACTTCTTTAGCCCCACTTTGCCTAGAGGTAGCATCATGATGAAAATGGCCTTTACTGGCAATTCATGACAGTTCTTTCTGAATGAAACTTATCCTCTAATGACAGACTCTGGGCAGTTACTAGAAATTCAGATGTTCTAGTCATATTCCTTGACCCTCTTTACGGGGTAGAAAACTGAGTTTTCTTCAGTGGAAAAGGGAACAGAGAGATTTTCACATATGCATAGATCTTTGACAGGATGTTTTTATTGCTTCGTGTAACAGACACTGGCAATGTTCACTTGTCATCTTATAAGCCCTCCTCAGTGAAGACTAGTGTTGACTCTAATTTGCTTTGCAACTCTATCAAAGTTTGAGGCAGTATAAAGGTTAACTGGGGCAGCAACATAAGACCTCGACTAACAGGTATAAAAGTGAGAGACAGTAATTTATGGCTTAAAATGGCATGACAACTGTTCCCTGTAACCTACATTTAAGCAAGAACAGCCAGGTATGGTGGTGCTCACCTGTAATCCCAGCATTCTGGGAGGGTGAGGCAGGAGGAACACAAATTCGAGCCCAGTCTGAGCAACTTAGAGACTTAACTGACACCCTGTTACAAACTTTTAAATGACAAAAGGACTAAAGAGGTAGCAAAAGCATGAATTGAATCACTAGTACTGAAAAGTAACAAAGAAACAAGAGTCATACAAGAGGAGGAAGACTTCAGTGAATCTCTATTTGGGGGAAAAGGGAGAGAGCTTCTTTTATCTATCCACATTTCACAACTTTCAGTATAGAATTTTCCTCAGATCACTGGACTACTTCTGAGAAAGAGACAGATCATGCAAGCAGAACTTGGTACCTGTACTTTGGTAGGCAGATCTTTCACACTGTCGGGTTTGAAGAAGGTGAAGTCGATCATGGCCTGGAACAAAGAGACAGCCTTCTCTGAGTGGCCAGCCTGCCGCAGAAAATGGCACTGCTGAAGAAAGAGTGCTGCAGTGGGAAGGCAAAGAGAAGACTCTCGTTAATACCACTGCCGGAAAGAATCTTCTCAACACATGCAGTTAAACTCCAAGAATTCCTTTTACCAAAAATTAGTTACATTTTCAAAGCTGTAACACAGTCCTGATTTTACACGTGTCCTACTTTTAAAGAAATAACAACAGCACTGTAATCTAAATAGTTTTTCTAATTCTTATATTAAACCACCACAGAATATAAATGTTAACAATAAAAAATACATATGCTACCTAAAAATAAGTCAACTGGTTGACATGAATATTGTCATCAAATACTCAACACTCACTATCACAAGAAAAACTAGGAAAAGGATGGCATCGATTTTTATCAGAAAGCAAATATCTGCACTTGACTGAACACTAGATGGCACTATTTGACGGCAAGCTGCACTTTACGCTCAGTTCCCACGTTTGAAAATTTCTGTTCATCTTAATTGTGGTATAATTCCACTTAATAACATGAAGCTATTTAAGCACATAACAAACAATACCAAAGGCTTAAAAATACATTCCATGTTACTCATTTTTATTTATTTGCTGCTGGGGCCTAAACCTAGGGCCTTCTGCATGCTAAGCATATGCTGTACCACTGATTACACCTCCAGCCCCAAATGTCAGACTCCTCACCAGAGGGGGAAATGCCTATTACTTCTAGAGCAACACATTTACATTTTCGATACTAACAGTAATACTGAATTTCATATAAATGCCGGCTTTGTGCCACACAAGGAGCTGGACTCACTATGCATCATCTCATTTAATGCACACAGCAGTCTTACAAAGCAGGTATTACACTGTTCCTGATGAAGAACTGCACCTCATACAGCTCAAGGGCTCTGCCTGAGGTCAGACCACAGTTCATGAAGGACAAACCCAGGATTCATGCTGAAGACTGATACATTTAGATTCTAGGCTTCTTTGGGACACACCAGAAACATCAGCAGCATAATAACAAATAACTGCTATCCATGCAGTCAGTATTCATCACGTGTACATTTGTGCCAGAGACCCTGTAAGTGGGGGTCCCAACAGGTCAGACCACTGACAGCCAAAGATCTGACTGGCTCAATAAGTAGAAAACCTGGAGCTTCCTGTCCAGAGTTATTTCCTGTCTCTGCTGGCTCTCATCCCACTCCTATCTGCCCACCGCGAGAGCTGCAGGAAGGGGGTAACCTGTTATAATTAACTGGAGTTATAGCATTTTAAAAAATCAGCTCTTAAAAATAAATCTTCATGTTCAACTAAAGTCAAATGCAACAAAGTCCAACTCTTCCCACACAACTGAAGCTGCTTACTGCTTACCAAACATGGCCTCTTCCGTGCCAGGCAATGCAGGGTGAGATAACATGCTGCCGTCCTTAACCGCAGACAAAGTGCTCAAGCACTTCCCATAAAGATTGTGGATTTTTGAAATCGAAAAGGTGCTAAACTGGCTCTGGCAAAATAAAAGGTATTTCTGCCAAAGAGCACTATTATTGGGATGGAGGAAGATCAGTTTCTGCCACTCTTTGACCAGTGTGGAAGGCTCCCAGAACTCGGCACACAGCTTCAGCTTGGCCAGCTTCAGATCCACACTGCTCTGATTGCTGTCAATGGCCCGCTCCAGAATGGCCAGCTTCTTTTCCAGGATGAGCTTCAGGGACTTCTTCTGCTTCTCCTGCTCTCCCTCCTCAATGGCATACAGGCCAGGACTCCTCATGACCTCATCCTCAACAACAGAAACATCAAGTTACTAGTGAAAATGGAAGGGAGGCCTCTCAGAGCCTCAACAGTGCTTAAACTGACTGCCAGCTCTTGATGGGTTTTTCACCTCTCAAAACAGTTTACTCAGGGACTGGGGATCTAGCTCAGCAGCACCACACCTGCCTCCCAAGCACAAGGTCCTGAGTTTGATCCCCGGTACCAAAACATATTTACTCAGACTTTATTGATAGCCACTTATTTATCACAATTTCTTTTCATGAAAACTCCATTCCTAGGGTATATATGCCACCTAAATGACCTGTTTACTGTCATTTTTACCTGAGATTTATGTACAGTGCCTTTAAACCCTTTCCTGAAGAGTCAACCTTATCAATAGCACAGCCAGATATGGAACAAAATCTAATACTTGCAGGAATGGTTCAAAATGCAGGATGAAAACATATATTTGGGGAAGCTCTAACTGGCTTGTATGCTCAGTAACTTCCTGAGCAACCCTGCCTTTCTCACAATTCTGAAAAGCCTGGGCGGGTCATACTTCAGGAACACCTCTCCCTGCCTGGTGAACATCTACTCTTCTCTCCAGTCTGTTCCTGGGCTGGAGATGTAGCTGGGTGGCAGCGCGCTTGCTTAGCATGTATGAATCTGGGCTAGATCCCCAGCACTACAGTCTCCTCTCCCTTGGCAGCCTTTCCTCCTCTCTAGTGACACCCCCTCTCCCCCATTCTCAAGTCCCCCGAACACATTCCCTACCTCAGGCTGCATTTATTCCTCAGGCATAAGGCTTCCTCACTGGACTTGGAGCAGGCTGAGGGCAAGGACTATATTCTAATCACCTTTATGTGCCCAGCACCAGGCTTTCTCCCCGCAGCTCAAGAAGTGCTGTGGAGGAAATGGTCTGCCCCAAATCAGTAAAGTCATTCCAAGGTAAGAGAACCAGACCAGTGGCACTTACCTGAAAAGCCACAAACGACATCCACAGCTGAATATCCCGAGGATTCTCCCGAACCTTCCTGTTAAACTCCTCCACCTTGGCCTTGAGAATACCATCCTCTCCATCTGGCTGGGAGTCCGGCTGCTTCGATTCTTGCTCTGAAGGACCTTGTCCTTGTAGCCACTGTGTGGTTGACTGATCATAAATCCCCAGAGGATTCAACCAGGTCGTAACAGGAGCAGCCACATTATCTGAGTCCTTCACTGGGATAAACAAGACTGGCTCAGAGGAAGGAGGCTCTGTTTTACTGGTAATAGCAACTCCATCGATGTTCATTAGTCCCACACTCTTCTTGGTAAAATAGCGCTCAACATGCTTGTGTGAATGCTTCTTCACTGTGGAAACTCCTTCCCAAGATACACACTGCTTCTTAGGGTTAATGCCCAGGCAGGAGTCTCCTTTCCTCTTGTATCTGACATGTGGAAAAGAAAAGACTTTGTGACTTGCTAGTGACTGGGGGCTCATTAGACCCAAACTCTAGTTACCCAGGCTCGCTGCATGTATACAAATTCACCTTGCCTTCAAATTGTTTTTATTTAGAGCCATATGACGATTAGCAATTACCTTTCTGTCGGGCTTGACTTCTTCCTGTTACAGTTTAACCCTTTATTAACATCTCCCTGAATTTAAATAACATGTCTTCTACATTGTAGAAACTTGTATTTTTCTAAAGCTTTGTAGTTCAAGTAGTCATATATTCTGTCATTTGATCATCACAGCCATATGTGACAGGTAAGGAAGAAAGTATCATCCCCTCCTTGATGCAGTTCCTAAATAAGCACACTGAGACCTGGAACCTAGGTCAGCTATCTCCTAGATCACTCCTGTTTCCTCAATACTATCTTGCATACCTGCTTGAGAAGACAATACATCTAAGATTCTTTTTTTAATCCTGAAACAAAGTATGTCAAGTGAACTTATATTTGGTTGTTTTCTACTCTAGTAGAAGAGAGACTGGGCTTTAAAATGCTTTTATGAAACATTTAGATGTTCCCAGAGTTACCGACAGACAACTAATGAATACTTGCACAGGACAGGGCTAAAGAAAATTGTTCACTTTTCTGTATGTATGATAGCAAATAATCCAATTAAAAACTGAGCAAAAGATATCAGCTAAAATTTCAGACAAGAAAACATGAATGGCGAACAGAAATATGAAAAAGTACTCAATATCATTAGTGATCAACGGAGTGCCAATTAAAACCGCAATGAGACAGACACACTGCATACCCTTGGAACAGCTAAAATGTGTAAGACTTACACCACCAAATGTCAGTGAGCAACCACAGTTCTCATGTGCTGATGGTGGGAACACGAACTGGTAGAACCACTCTGGGAAAAGGACTAGCAGTTTCTTAAAATACTAAACACACACCTACCCTATGACCCAGCAATTCTATTCCTAGGTATTTACCCAAGAAAAGGAAACCATAGGTATACACAAGATTTGCACATGAATGTTCTCAGTAGCTTTATTCTTCACAGCCAAACACTGGAAAGAGCCCAGGTGTCCACCAGCAGAAGAACAAGCAGTGGTATACCATACAATGGAATACTACTATCAATAAAAAGGAACAAACTGCTGATAAATGTCAATGGATAAATCTAAGAAATGCTGTAATGAGCGCAAGAAGCCAAATACAAAAGACTGTACTGTATGATTCCATGTATATAAAATTCTAACTCAGCAAAACTGATCAATGGTAGAAAAAAATGAGAATGGTCACTGTCCTTAGGAAGTGTGGATGGCGACAGAATGGAAAGGAGCATAGGAAATGCTGGGGTGGGATCACAATAACAGTGTGCATTTATATAGAGGTCTGGGTTACACAGATGTATACACTTGTCAATACCTGAAATTGGCATATGAATTGCAGCAGATTTTAAATTTTTAAAATATTGAATTTTAGCTAGTAATATGCATGCTGATATATTTAGGTAGTAGTACAATAAACCGTCTGCGGTTCACTTTAAAATGCATTCAAACAATAAGATGGTTGACAGACAGATGTGTGACAAAGCAAGAACAGGAGGATGTTAGTGTAGAATGTAGGAAGTGGTTACATGAGTGTAAAGTTCTTTCAACTTCTGCTGTATACTTGAACATCTGTATGATAAAACACTGTGGTCAGAAGAGGGCAGGGAAGAGCGGGCTCTACTTCTGTCAGCTCCCAGAAAGCTCTGTTCCACTTCGCCCTGGGCCCACCTCGGCTCTCTCCACTGTCCAGGGCCCTCCTGGCCTGCCCTGCCTTCTCCATCACTTAAGGAAAATATTTCCTCACATATACATACAAGTTCTCCATGAAACCCTGCCATGGCGTGAATGTCTTTCTAGAAAGTTTTAAGCCCAACCCCCAAATTCATTTGATGATGGATGTTCACAGGTGTAGCTTTGGGAGGTAACTGGGACTGATAAGGAAATCAGAATGAAGCTCCCATAACGGGACTGGCAGATTTATAGGAGAAAAGGAAGAGAGACTTGAGCAGGCATGTTTGTTCCATCTTAGCATGTGATGTCCTCTGCCATGTTATGATGCAGCAGGAAGACACTGAGCTGAGGTCCATGTCATCCTCTAGGACTTCTCAGCCTCCAACCATGAGTCAAATAAACTTCTTTATAAATTACCTGGTTTCAGGTATTTCAGTACAGCAACAGAAAACAGACTATCTCTATCACACTCAATTCCTCCTAGATTACATTAGGATAATCTTTCTCTATTGCACCGAGAATCAAAAGCAACCAGAACCAGGCTGCGGTGTACCTTGGTGGTAGTGTGTACAGTGTAGCATTCATGAGGCAATCTCAAGCACCACAAACATACATATGAACTTAACAAATGAGCATCAGGTTGCTCTAAATAAGCCTGTCATTCTAGAAGGAACAAATTTCAATTAAAAAAGCTAATTTTGTATCTTTACTACTAATTCAATATTATTTCCTCATTAGTTACAAATGTACACTCTTACATTGCCCAACTACCTGTGTCTAAATTCCAATACTACCACTGACTAACTGGATAAACTTAACCATGTTATTAAAAGCTGTGTCTATTAGGCAGCTTTTCCTTACTATAACAAAATACCTGAGGCAGGCTACCTTATAAAGAAGAGAGGTCTGGTTTGGCTCATAGTTTTGGAGGCCAGAAGTCCAAACAGCAGGATGCAAGAACTGGTGGGGGCCCTTTTCACTACATCACATCGTAGCAGGAATGCGTGTATACCTCTGTGCCCATCTGTTCTCTCAGTCTTTCCTTACAAAGACACAAGGATTCACTCACGGGGCTCAAGCCAAATGACAAAATCGAATCCAATCATTTTCTAAAGGTCTCATTATCAACACCAAAGTTAGATTAAGTTTTCACCCCCTGAATACCTTCAACATAAGGCTTTGGGGATTAAACTGCATGAATTCAGAGGCACAAACTACATTCAAACCACAGAGTGGCTCATACCTGTAATCCAGCTACTCAGAGGCTGAAGCAGGAAGATCACAAGAGTGAGGTCAGTCTGAGCAACTTACTAAGTCTCTATATCAAAATAAAGTCAGAAAAGGGCTGGAGATGTAGTTCAGTGGTACCACACAGAAGGCTGAGGGTTCAATCTCCACTACCATAAAAACAAAAAAGCACTATCTGTGCCTCCGTTTCCCCATATGTCAAATGGGAATAACAAGGGGACCTGTGTCACAAAATTACTGGGATGGTAAAAAACTGTACAAATGTAAAACCTTTGGAAGATTATCTGCAACAAAGCAAGAGCTAGATAAGTTTAAACTGTTTTTCACATTTTATAAAACTTGGCTCCTCCTAAGCATATGCCAATTATTTTATCTGCTATGTGGCCAAAGAAACAATCTACTCAAAAATGGAGGAAAAAACTGAGCTGAACTTCACTGAAAGACAGTATTTTACTCCTAAGGATTTTCAAAAAGTAATGACTATCATTTCCATGTGACACACTAACTTCAGAACCTAAGCCCTGTTTACCATTATACTCCACACACCGGTATCAGTGCTGGGTGCACATTCTGTTCCACTGAGCTAAACTTGACTCCCTGCACTTCTATTCAGTCTTGGTTCTGCCTCCCTGAGTCACACAGAACACTGTGTGTCCAAAGGACAGCCCAGCAAAGCTTAAACGACAATTATCCTGTCTCTGCCAAGGGCCAATATTCATTACCCCTCGCCTAATTCTCACAGGATGGAGCAAGTCTAAATCATAAGTAACTTCTTACCATCCTCTCAAGGATCTAGGACTGTCACTGTTCTTCAAGTGTGAAAACGTAGGGCCTAACAGAGCATCCCCACTGTCCTCTGACCAGCTCAGAGGGCTGTGTGATCCACATCTTCCCAGATCTGGGCAATAACAGTTATACAGGCAAGACTGTCCCACTGAAACTTAAATTACAAGGAAATCAACAATGCCCCAAGTCTTTTACTAGTACTATCTTTGCACTTTAGACTACTAAAGTTGGGCCTAATTACTCTTCTTCCAAAAAACTGTGCCTTTCATTAGCAGAAACTCAAGAGCTACTCTTTGTTAATGTTTTTTTCATCTATTAATAAATAACCCTTTAAAGTTGCATACCAAGTTCCAATTCTATATCAAATATTAATGATAACTGAGTGTAAAGCAGGACATGAATTCTAATTTCCAATTTACAAATTAAAAAAAAGAGAGAGAAGCTCAAAAGATACGTGACCTGCCTGGGATTATGCAACAAGTCAGCAGCAGTCAGAATGAGAACACAGGTCCTCTGTTTCCAACTCCAAAAGTGGAGTGTATTACCACAAACCTACCTCTACTTGTTCAAACCCCAACCATGCTGCTCCCTGGCTGCCTGATCTTAAGCAGCTCCTTAACCTTGCTGAGATTCCTTTTCGTTCCCAAGGTACATCTGTGGGCACTGACAGGTTGACACTGTGAAATGAGGAGACAGCCAGAGCGCACGCCTCCTGCTAGGTCATGTTTGTGACTTCCCCATCTCAGTGGGGACCCAGATCTGAGGCACTACCCTGTCGCAGCACAGAAACCCATGGACACTGCACTTGGCATTAAAATAACCCCAAAAGTAGCTTGGCATGGAGGCACATACCTATAATCCCAGCATTCTAGGAGGCTGACAGGAGGATCCTAAGTATGAGACCAGCACGGATAACTTAGTGAAACCATGTCTCAAAATTATAAAAATAAAAGGGCTTGGAGTTATCTCAGTGCCAAGGCCCTGGGTCCAATTCCCAGTACTAAAAAAAAAGTCCAAAAATAATGAATATACTTAAAATGATAGTCATTTATTCTTTGCCATGAAGCTTTTGTCAACAGTGTACAGATTAAAAGCAACTGTTGCAAATTCATCATAAAGGAAATTTTAGTCGGAATTATGTGATGAGGTATAATGTCAGGATGAGTGAAATATGACTGAAATTTGGAAGAGCGGTAAGGTACTGGAAACAGAAATTTTAAAGTAATTGGCCTAGGGCCGGGGATTTAGCTCAGTGGCACCAAGCCTGCCTCGCAAGCACAAGGTCCTGAGTTCAATTCCTGGCACCAAAACAAAGTAATTGGCCTATACAGAAAAACTATCTCCAAGATTTCCTCTTGATCTCGTATTCTGTGATTCTCCAGCTCTGACTTTCATTACCTGCAAACTCTGTCAAGAGTAAAGACCGTGTATTATTGCTCTTTATAATCCACGTTTCCTACAAATTACTAAGTGTCTAAAGGGTTTTAATAGGTACTAAAGTTGTTGTTGTTGTTGAGACAGGGTCTCAGTAAGTTGCCCACCCTGGCCCTGAACTCACAATCCTCCCCCTCTGCCTCCCAAGTAACTGGGATAACACGCACAAGCCACTGCACTTGCCTTACACAAGTATTTTTGATTTGACAGTTTACAGGGAAAACGTTCAAACTCAATACAACAAATATTCATTACAGCAAATAACACCACCTATTTTTATGATCATCTGGTGTTACATGCCAGAAATAATTTGAAAGTCAATACCACTAAATGTCATTTTCTGAAATGGCATTATGTGGGGGACAGATAAATAAAAGGCTTTTGCTACTTTTTAAAATGGCATATAGATTAGAACAAATGGGTTCTGGATACTCATCACAATTAATTATCGTATTTTTAGATTCATTCATCCAACAAACATTTATAAAATATCTACTACACCAGGCACTGTGCTAAGCACAAAGGATAATAAGATTAATCTGACCTGACCACAAGGATTAAGCTTTCAATTTAGAATGTGGGATGAAGTGTGTCCCTTTAACAGCTTAACAATGATAAGAACCAAAAGAATCTATGAGAGAGAAATAAAGAGGCAAACAGACAATGCTCAGAGTTCAGAGGAGAAACAAGTCACTTCCAACAGCAAAAATCAGGGGAAATAATATGGCTACCTTGCTATATCTCCTCTGTAAAGAGACTTATATTCCCAGTTTGCAGGATCCGGTTTCCTATCTGTTCTGAAGATTTCTCCTGTCAGAGTCTGGATGTCCTCAAGCCAGAAAGAGTGATGCCCAACATCAGCAGCAGCATTGTTTCCATAACTGTGGGACAAAAGAAAAGGAGACACGCTTCAGAAATCTTCCAAAATATCAAAGTTCAGCTTTTCAAACCCCACACAGCATCAAAAACACCGAAGTACATAAAATTGCACATGTCATAGAGATGAGAGGAAAATTCTTACTCTGGGAAAAGTTTTTAAAGTAAAGCAAAACTAAATGACAAGGAAAGTCTCAGAAATTAAGATGAAGTATTACTGGAGTTTTAGGACAAAACCCAGCTTCAGGGGTCCCAACAGACCACACTGGAAGATCCATCCTATAACACCAATCAAGGAGATGGGCAGCAGTAAAGGGTAGGAAAGGAGCTTTAATCAGCATGGCCACGCTGGGATACACAGATCAAAAGGTTCAAAATCTGTCTTCAGGGGGCTGGCAGAGCTTTGGGGTAGGAAAGAGGAAACAAAGGCAGAATTTGGTGTTTTTAATAACTAGTCAGGCTGTGTTCTGGTTGATCAGTATCTCAGGACCAGTGCTGTGAGATTCTCCAAGAGTCATCATCACTTGAGGGGGGATTTGGCTTTCATCATGAGATGACAGTTCCCACCACGTGATGGGGAAAGTGCCCCTGCTTAGTGGTTGACTTCATCAAGGGTGGTCTGTGAGGCTCTGTGAGGCTGACAACTAGATGTCCCCATAATCACTTTACTTACTCTTATCTTGAAGTCCCCTCAGTCTTGAAGAGGGATGGGACAGTGTAGGTAGATTTAGGACTAATAAACTTTATATCACACTCCTTCATGCAGAACAGAGCAGGGATCTGATCCAAAGTTTTTAGGTAATAAAGGAGAAACATGAAGGCAGAGATGCTAAACTTCATCCTGCTTTTAGTCCCTCACTGGGCACCTGAAGGCCCAATCTGTGAGTTCTTGCCACAGAAGGATATAGGTGTTCTCTTCAAATATTTCATTTAAATGCCTTTAATTAGAATTTCAAATGTATTTCTAAATAAGGTTTTTTTTCCTTTAAAAAAACAACTCCTATTCTGAGGCACTTTAGAATGCTACACAGAGGGAACTACCACACATTCCAAGGTGATAATCACGACGTGACAGTGGCTACCTTTGCTTCACCTAACTCAGCGATGGTGAAACTTTTAGAGACCGAGTGTCCAAACTGAAACCCAAAACCCACTTATTTATCACAAAGTGCCAACACTAACACTAGAATTAAACTTGAACACTGAGGTTTTACTATAGAAAAAAACAACTGTTATCCAGTGCTCGGCTGCTGGGGTGACTTGACTCTCGCTGCGGCACATGCACCACAGGCTTGCCGCCACTGACCTAACTTACGTCAAAGTGCTCGAACACCTTACTCCGACTCACTACTTCAGAAAGGCACTTGTCGAACTGCTTGCTCAGGTGTGGTCTCGGTTCATCTTTGCAGTCCTGTCCGGTGTGTTTGGTCTGCATGTCTGCACTTCCTACAGAAAGAGCAGAATCCCGAGAGTCCCTAACACAGACCCTTATTTAGCTCATTGAATCAGTTTGTGGACTGGCCAGCTTTCAGCTCAGATACAAAGGAAAGGAACCGCTTCCCCAGGAGTTCACTGAGAGGGAGGGAAGCATTTTCTGGCATCTAACATCTTTTTTTCTCTAAAGAAAATCAGCTCATAATGCGGATGGCACAATATGCTGCCAAATGAGTCAAAACAGCCATTAACTGTGGTTCCATCTTTGTATTTTAGCTCTGCCTAGACACAAACAAAGATTCTGGAGGATTCTAAATCATGACTCACAGAGAATACAAAGGAATGGCATTTCAAGGACACAAAAGTAGCCACTTAATAAATAAGTGTTGAACAAGGAGCCTCAGGTTAAAATATAAAATGTATTAAGACGAATGTTAATACAATCACCTTCATGACAACTGTCAAGGCTCTTCCATAAAAACTGCAAGCGACAGAGAAAAGAGGAAGGACAGCCCACTGGGAAAAGACCAATGCATTCTAGAAAAGGGAAAGCCAACTAGAGAGGGCAGGTGGAAGTGAATGCAGATCACACCCTGGGAGTAAACAAGTCTTCTCTCTACCCTCCTGGGTACCGAGGTCAGGAAGCAGGATGTGGTGGGTGAGCTGTGTGCTAGGAAAGAGCTGCCTCCACCTTACATGATGGAAAACGCATCCCAGGAAACAAAGGCCAGTTAGTAGCTGAAACCTCTAGGGATCTCCTACAGGAAAGTCCCACAGGATATGCTACCCTCCCTGCACCCACTCTCCTGACATCATGGAAAGACATTCACAACACACTTACACCTTGATCTTTGTCTATGTGGAAACAAACAGTTCTTCCAGGTCAACTTCCCCAAAAAGAAACCACAGAAGTTAACAGCAAGAAAGCAAAAGAGAAGGACAAGAAAAATGTATTTTGATCTTAGTAAGGTTATCCCACCAAACAGCAAACTGAAAATGCTATTTGGATCATGAAACCACTAAGAAGCTACGCTCTCTGAAATGGTTAAAGCATACACTGAAATTAACAGTCTGCCAAATTCTTGTGGTAGTCCCTATTTGGTTTCAGGAAATCCTTTACAACTCATTTCCTCAGCTCTAAAAAAGGACAAACAGATAAAAGGTAAAATTTCAGGGGCTAGGGATTTAGCTCAGCGGTTCGGTGGCCTACCTTCGGTGACCCGAGTTCAATCCCTGGTACCCCCCCCAAAAAAAAGGTAAAATTTCAGAAGCTGTAACAAAGTAGTTTCTTTGAAGACATACCCAAAAGCAAGGCTATAGGGCTAGCTGTGCAGCTCAGTGGTAGAGCATGTACCTAGCACATATAAGGGCTGGGATTTGATCCTTTATATCACTGAGTGGGGCAGGTGGGCAGACAGACAGATGGACAGATGGACAGAAAGACAGTAGCTCAGTACAGTGGCACACACTTATTATCCCAGTACTCTGGGACGCTAAAGCAGGAAGACTAGCAAGTCGCAGGCCTTAGTGGGCAACTTAGTGAGACAGAGTCAAAGGGAAGGAAAAACAAAATTTAAAGGGCTGGGAATGTAACTCAGTGCAAAGGCCCTGGGTTCAGTTCCCAGTGTCACAATAATAAATATATTATAGACAGAAAGCAAGAATATCAGTAATATATTCACTCACTCATTCAGCAGCAACACTGTATCAGGCTTTGGATCAGTGCTGGGGGACAGTGGAAAGCAGGCAGCTCTAATTCTATCCTCCTGAATTCAACCCAATTCAGAATCTTTAGCTTAGCTCCTTTATTTCTTCCTCCTAAGAGCAAGCATGGGTTACAGGTACAGCACCTGAGCTACTGAGGGCTGAATAAACTTGGCTCCTCTGAGCCAGAAACCAACAGTGCTCATCACTGCTCTGCTGACACCACTCTAGGACCCCGCAAGACTGCAGCGTTTGCATCTGATGGAAACTCTCAGGCCATCCCAGGCCTGCACCAGTTCAGGGCTCTTACTGACATCCATCGGCCTTCCAAGCGCACAACAAAAGCAAATAAATCTCTGAAGAGCTGCAAAGACCTCAACAGCATTAATTTTTTAAAAATATGCTCGGAACAAGTACTTCACTCTTCTCTCTTCTAGACTGTAGAAGCAATGAAGAAAAAAACTGGATAAGAAATAATTCAGGTAGTTTTATCACATACCATCTTTCCCCCTTTCTATGCAAGAGGATGTTCGGCTAAGCAGAGAGGAAAAGCTATCCTGAGTACCCACACTGTGCCCCTTTGGTGAAATGATGAGCAATTCGCTCAAGCAGACAGCAGAGTGAGACACGAGGAGAAATAAAGCCCCCAAGGACAGGAAATACTGTGGTCATCAGCTGTCCTGCACCTTCACGACGATGGTTCTCAACAGATACGAGGTAAAGGAGAAGGGCAAATACCAACAACTGAAGAGCTACACTGACCTTAACCAAAAAGAGGGCAAGGGGTGGAGGGGAGAGAGAGTAAGAGAGAAAGAGATCGAGATCATGAATGCAGGATGGAACAAACCTCAAGAAAATGCTTTTTGGGCTAAGTGTGGATGTCAACAGCCCTCAGGCATGGAACCCTTGAAGCACAGTGCACTGACCCATATGCCCGCTGTGTGCTACACTGTGCTGTCTTTCAGAAAAGCCAAAGATGATCTTTTCTTGTTTTGTTTTCTTGAGACAGGGTCTTGCTCTGTAGTTCAGGCTGGAACTTACTATACAGCCTAGGCTGGCCTTGAACTTGCAGTGATCCTCCTGCCTCGGCCTCCTGAGTGCTAGGATTACAGATATGTGCCACCGTGTCTGGCCCATATCAGATTCTGATACAATCATTACTGTGTCTAAATAATATTTCTTAAACAAAATTATGTCCTTAGTTTTTATGATAGTTTTTCTTTTGTTTTTAAGCTGATCTAATGGGAGAGTTCTCTCTCTCTTCCTTTGGTTCTAGGGATTAAACCCAGAGCATTCAAACTGAGCTACGTCCCCTTGGAACTGACCTCAACAAGCTGTCCAGGCTTAACTCAGCCTTGTGTCTCCTGCCTCAGGTTCCCAAAGTGCTGGGGTTACAGGGTTACTACACCTGCCTAGAGTTCTCTTTTAATTGACTAGCTAAACAAACATTCAAACACCAAACTTGTGGCAACAATCAAGAGAGAAAAATTCAAACTTAAAATATCACCAGCATCTGAGAACAGTAAGCTACCTGACTTTCTCAGACTCCTTCTGACTACTCCTGATGCTTCGGGACAATCTGTCCTTTCCAGAGTCACTTTCCGGCTCAGACTCACTGCTACTCGACTGTCCATGTTTCCTCTTCGTCTTCTTATAGTGCTGATGCTTCCTTTTTTTCTTTTTTTCTTTCTTCTTTTTTCTGCTTATTTGTGTGAGCTTTTTGTTAGTGTCACTCTCATCTGAAGGCTGTGATTTCAAAGGACTCCTGTTGGGGAAAATCAACTTCAGAATTACTTTCAAAAGACAGGGAAAATATTATGTAAAAAGTAAATAAACAAATAAATATGTAATAGGGATACAGTATACAGTTTTTTCCTGGATTATAACTAAACTTAAGACTTAAGAATTGTACCTGGGGCCAGGAATGTAGCTCAGCAGCACGGTGACTGCCTGGCAAGCGCAAGGTCCTGATTTCGATTCCCAGTACAAAATAAAAAAAAGAACTATACCTAAAATAAGTGATAGTTTCTAAACCTGTACTTTCATATGTATTCATCTTTAAATTAACCTACTAGTTACTTTGTTAAATAAAGTATTTTGGCAACATTATTAAAGGTTTATTTTCAGTGATACATACCAGGGTGTCCCTAAAACCAAAAACAAAAGGTTTAATTGTGGTCCTTGTTTTTCAAATTGAAAATGAATCCTTCCTCATCACTGAAATAACTTCCACGAAATTCTTCACAGACATCAACTTCCAAAAGGCTTCCTAGGCATTTAGTGTTCATATTTTTCACCTTTTTAATGAGACTCTCTAATCTATTTGTGAAAGAGTGCATTTCTCAACTCAGCGATCTACAAAAAATTATTTCACAGCTGGATAGAGATGCATGTCATTTTGCTCTCCCCAATGTTTTCATAGATTTTATCCTATGTTATGTGATATAGGCTATTTTTACGAAAGTGTTGAATATGCAATTAAAGAAATTCTAAATTACAATAGCCTAAAGGTTACTAAAGTTACCTGAGAAACACAATGTTGCCATTTCCCTCATGGCCTAATTATAGGCACTAATTGTGTCGCGCACTTGCTATTGCAATGCGAAGTGGGGATACAAGAACAATCTACAGAAATGAGGTCAGGGAAACAACCAAGCACCTCATTACTCTAAGTAAAAGAAAAGCTTCGCTGTGTTTTCGCTATAGGCTTTTCTACGCACATCATTTAAGCTAAGCTAGAGACAATATACGAACAAAGGCTAAAATCCGTCTGTCGAAAAACTACCTTGTCAGTGTGGACCCTTCAGAAACAAGGGCTGTGGCCTCCTTGGTTTGTTGGTTCAGCGATGATGCTGTTGTTCCAACACAAAAGCTTGGGTTACTCAGCCAGTCTAATTCTGCATGTGCAAAAGGGAGAAAAATCAATAAAATTATTCAAAATGACTTCTAAAGCAGCAAATCCATCCATCTTATCAGCGGGGATCCCAATTCACAGCCCATGTCAGCCAGACACTTTCAATAGCCCACAGAAGCCAAACAGAATCCATGAAATTTTTATTTCACAGGACATGGTGCTTTAACACTCTCTAAAATATTTAAGACTGAAATCCTCTTGTGATATCAGGCTGTAGCTTAAGCAAAAGCCACATAACAAGTGTGTCCTAAAAGGCAACAAGGTTTTATGTATTCTATCCATGCTACCTAATGAGCCTGAATGCTTCCAAAGCATTAGGTCTGCTAACCTCAAATTTGATTTAGACAATTCCTAAAAATTAAAAAATCAAATCATGCATAAAAGTCCACAAAGCTTGATGTTATAAAGAAACTGAAAATCTTAAAAATATGCAATGGTAAAAATATGCAATGGTCTATCTTAGTATAGTAATTGCACCTTTCCTCATAACAATACTACTCTTTGGAAATAAAAACACTAGATTCAATTACTAATGCTAAAATCATATTCATGTTAATGATGATTACTTCTGAGTGATAAGATTAAATATCTAAAAATTTTTTTGCTTCCTACTTATCCATAAATTTCTAACTTTTCCATAGTAAATTATTTCTAAATTGCTTACTTTCTATTAAAGAGTCTGAACTATGAGGGAATATAAAGCAGGAGCCAGGTGTAGGATGGCACACACCTTTAATCCCAGCTCTCGAGAGGCTGAGCCTTGAGTTCAAGGCCAACCTGGGCTACACAGTTCAGGCCAGCTTGAACTACATAGCAAGACCCTATCTCAAAACAAACACACTAAAGAATAAAGCATGAGATGGCAGTAACAAGGAAGCCCATGCAGGGGCTCAAATTCTGTCCTGTTTTGTTTTAGGGTGAGAAGCCAGGGCACATCCATATGCTGAGGAAAAAACCCAGGAAATAGCTAAAGATCCGAGAAGAGGGTAACTGCAATTTTAAGTTTCACTGACATAATTTACATATCAAGAAGCCATTCTTTTAAGGGATGATGTTTAGCATAGAGTTGTAAAACTATCTCCGTAACTGCAGAACATTTTTTTCATCCCATAAAAAAATCGGACTCAGCAGTCAATGCCCATCCTCTCACTCCTAGTACCACCCTCTTCTGCTCCAATCACTCATCTACTTTGTCTCTACAGATCCACCTATTTTAGACATTTATTTTTTCTCTATCTGAGTTTATTGGTACATTTTAGGTATACAGTACAGTTACACTCATCTTTGGGATCTTGTACCTCTACATGACAGGTCTTGGTTCTCATTTTTTCCCCTTGTCCCTGCCCTCCCTTCACCCCTTCTCCCCTCCCCATTTACAAACACTTTATTTCCATTTTTTCATTTTCTTATATATATATTTTCCCCTTATTACCTTTCCCCTGCCCTTCCCACTTTCCCTACACCTTTAGCCCTTTTCTTCCTATTTCACATTAGACATTTAACTTAAATGAGCTCATACAATATGTACTCTTGTAACTGGCTTCTTCCACTTGTGTAATGTTTTTAAGGTTCATCCATGCTACAGTATGTCTTTCCTTCTTCTTGTCTAACAATAATCCATTTTGCTAGGCATGGTGTACATGACTATAATCCCTGCAGAAAGATCTCCGTGAGTTGAGGCCAGCCTGGGTTAAACGGAGAGTTCAAGGCCAGCCTGAACTACACAGTGAGATCCTGTCTCAAAACAAGAAAAGAAAAGAAAAATTTCCATTTTTTTGATATATCACATTTTCTTTACTCACCAGCTGTTGGGTACTTGGGACTATTATAAATAATGTTATGTACAAGTTTTTATATGGTAACTTTTCATTTCTCTTGGGTAGATATCTAGGAGTAGAACTGCTGGGGCATATGTAACTCGTGCAGCATTGTAGGAACTGCTTTCCAAAGCAGCTCTATCATTAGATTCCCATTAATGATACATGATTCCAGTTTCTCTGTCCCCAAGTAATTGTTACCATCTGATAACAGTCAGCCTTCTGAGTGTAATAAGTTAACTCAATGTGGCTTTAATTTGAACTTCCCTCGTGACTAATGATGCTGGCATCTTTTTATGAGTTTACTGGCTATGCTTTGGAAAAATAACTACTCAAATTCTTTGCCTATTTTTACATTGAGCTGTCTTTGGATTACTAAGTTCTACGAGTTCTTCACTTATTGTAGACTGTAGTTCCTTACTGTGACTACATCTCAGTGAGGGGCAACAGCAAGCATGTTCCCTGAAGACAGGCAGACCTGCTATATGGACCGGGCACAGAGGGGCACTGCCTGGCATACAGCAGATATTCAACAAATATGTGTAGGAAAGAGAAAAAGGAGGAAGGGTGGAGAAGTCCAACGCCAGGCTGCATGCGGGCCAAACACCACACTAAGCATGTGCATCTTTTCTGTTTGAATCAACGTAACAACACTCTAGAGGAAGTATGACGAAGGACACTGCACAGAACAGGAAACTAGGGCTCAAAGGAATAAAGTAATTTGTAAGGTCACACTTAGTAATTTACAACAACTGTTCACACAGTCTTCTATCTCCTTTTGCCTTCTGAGGTCATTCTCTTCCCTTGTGCTTAATTCCTGGCAAGGAATCAGCAAAAACAGTTCCTGTAGTTCACCAAGACCAGATTTATTTCCACAACAATCATATTCCATCGTGTGCAAAGGAAAGAAAAGTAGAAAAAGATGGAACAAACAGTGTGCTGGAAAAAGAAGCTCTCGAGCCACTTCAGTACATTTGTACTAAGTATCTGAGATAGACAGCTGGAAGAAAATGTAAACAAATAAAAACATCAAAACTGCATATACATGTGTCTGCCTGGCAAGCACAAAGTCCTGAATTTGACCCCCAGTACCAAAAAAAGAAAAAAAAAAAAAAAACATATACAGTTGTGACTCTCTTAGATCTTTCAAAAGGTACAAGACAGGCCTTTTAAGAATGCAAACAAGGGGCCGGGGATTTAGCTCAGTGGCTGCGCCACCTGCCTCACAAGCCCAAGTTCCCAAGTTCAATCCCTGTGCCAAAAAAAAAAGGAAGGAAGGAAAGAAAAGAAAAGAAGGCAACATGGAAATGAGAAAAAAAGTCGTTTATAAAAAATTACAACTTGGCATACAATCCTGTAATTACAGGCACATGGCTATAATCTCAGCATTCTGGGGACCTAAGGCAGGAAGATCAGAAGTTTGAGCCTAGCCTGGGCAAATTAGGGATTTACTGAGACCCTGTCTCAAAATAAAAACTAAAAAGTGCTAGAGATGTAGCTTAGTTGCTATGCCTCTGAGTTCAATCTGCAGTATCACTTACTTACATACAGCTCTTGAGTTTTAAATCCAAATCACCATGGACCCTTTGTGTCACCCTCATCTCAAAGGCCAAAAGGCATTTTCCACCTGACAAAAAGGTGTTTTGTTTTGTTTGTAGTATAATACCTGGCTATGCATGAATTATTCGGATAATCACTGACTGAATTACTACTGAAAGATTTTGCTGATCACCTAATCCATGGATTTTCAAACTTTTCTTAGCCAAGAAGTTCACTTTTCAAATAAAATCAGAGAAGTTCCATAGGCAGAACAGAAATGGAGGGGATGCTCTGGCTGGGTGTGCAGAGGGAGGGGCAGTCTCAGGAGGCTCTCTTAGAAGCAGAGCTGGGACCTCTCCCACCTCCCAGACACACGGCCAAGGGCACACCTGTGAACCTGGACCTACAAACTGCATCAAGTGCTCTCCACCACACCGTGGAGCTGCTGTATGCTCCACTTCTTCAACCAACAGGGTGATTCTCCTGAAGCCTCTTTGCCCTTGGTACATGAGGTTGTTCCAACAGTTTCACATTATAATCTCATTATCTGCATGCCAGTCTTCCCACTACATTCTAAGCCAGTGATGGTGAGTCTGAAGGCCTAAACTGCAACCCAAAACCCACTTATTTATCACCAAGTGCCAATACCGCAATTAAACCTGAATACAATACTGAGCTTTCAGTGTAGAAAAAAAACAACTATTATGTGATGCTCGGATGCTGGGGTGACTCGGCTTGCGGCCGACAAAGAGGGTTCAGCGTGCCCACTGTGACATGTAAGTTTGCCACCACTGTTCTAAAATAATGGATAACGACTCAGATTCTATGGGAACCGATTAGTAGCGATTATTGTGTCACAGGAAGTGGTGACAGAAAAAAAGGAAAAAACAAAAACATTCTGCCATTCAAACAAATACACCAACCAATTTATAACTCCTGCATTTTCATTTCTGCTCTCTCCACACCTCCCACCCATCTTTCCAAACTGCAAGCAGCATGAGGGTAGGAGCTACAAGACTATTTACTCCCTGTACATCTAATTCCTTATATGGTGCCTTAGCCCAAAACAGCTAGAACTCAATATATATTTGAACAAATAAAATGAATAAGGCTATAGACCAAATCTTTGTCTTTTTCTCCATCACTGCATGGACTGTATGTATAAACTAAAAAGTTGAGACTGTCCCCCCAAAAGTTTACTTTCTAGGTATAAAGCATGACCATTATGTTTCCATTTTTTACTATATGTATTTAATTATTAAATAAAATACTAAGTGGCCAGGGATTTAGGTCAGTGGCACAGCGCCTGCCTTGCTAGTGCAAGGTCCCCAGTTCAATCCCCGTACCAAAAAAAAAAAAAAAAAAAAAAAAAAAAAAAAAATACTGAGTGGCTATGAAGTTGCAGGCACAGTTCTAGATATCGAGGGCACTGTAGTAAATGTGACAGGCTCTGCTCAAATGGTACTGATACATAGTCGTAACTTTACATGGTCAGATAATACATTCAGATTATTAAATTCAATTTTAAAGAGTCACAGAGAAAATTATGTGAGATCAACAGATGTTTTATCAGTCAGATTGCAGTGTCCTTTTCAACTGTTACTTACATCCTCACATAATTTACAGT